TTTCTTCTATCGATCGAACCCTTTTTATCTTATCCTCATCTACCACTTTTGTCATTTTCCTAAAAATATCTCAGTCTTGTCTTTATCCAAAAAGTGCACCGCCATGGTTCGATCGATATGAGCAACCATGTGATCGATCGAACTACCTCAAATTGCGTAAAAAACAGAGTTCAACCCAAATTAAAGGTGTGCTCATGGTGTAATCATTTGGAGGTCCTAATACATAAGGTTTGACCATTGGGTGTAACATTTGAGCTACCTATATAAGGATTTTGGCTATTTTGAGTAAAGGAGGTTGGTTAGAGAGAGAGACTTAGCTAGATATTAGAGAGAGAAACATACAATTTGGGAAAGTTCTTCTACTCATCTAGGGTACCATGAACACAAGAAGAGGAGGATGAATTCTACTATGGAGATAGCCCTTGAGGGTTGGATGACAACATCAATAAGTGGCTAAACCATTCTCTTGGGGCTATAGATAGCCTTAAACATGCCTCTTAGACTTTGATGTTTTGTAATTAATGGGAATTTGTGTTGTAATTCTTGTCTTAACATCTTAGATATATATATATATATATATATATATATATAAATCTTGTTTCTACAATGATTTGTATAGTTTAATACTTCCAATTGATCATTTAATTCTATCCATATGTTTATGTATGCTAGAATGAATGTTCATGTGTTTATCTCTAGATTTTGTGACGTTAATGCATGTCTATGTGTGTTGATATTATGAATCTAGTGATGGTCAAGGCATGGTGCTTAAATAGATTATATTTGTGGTTTGTTTAAAGGTTCAGACTTATTTCTTGATGGATTGTGCCACCTCCTTAGTTTAATTAGTTTAATTTTCATGTCACTAGCTTAGTTGTAGTGTAATTGCATTACTTTCTTAGATAGGTGGACAATCCATTCTTATTGTTTGATGTTCCATGCTTATGAGTGCAAGTGGTAAATTTCTCTAACCTAATGAGTGTGCATTAATTGTGGACTTATGGAAAGATTAATGGCTTAATTTGATAGGTTGCGTTATACACTAGATTTACTAGACTATGTATGCTTACTTAGCCATCCATGTTTGATATTTCAATTAATGGCACACACTTTCATTTATAACACACAATCCCCCTAATCCATCAAATATTGAATGTTTAGGAAGGTAATGCTTAGTGGTGAACTATATGTCCCAAGACTCCTCTCTCATATCCTCTGCACCTCAATTGTTTTAGTTATTTTTCATTGCATTTCTTTAGTTTAAAGTGTAGTATAATTCAACCAACAAACCATATTTTGATCATTCGACCTATTAGTCCATCATTGATTCCAAGAATACTACTCCTTTCCCTTGGGACGATCCCTACTTACTCTAGCTACATTAATAGTTAGTAGTGGTAGTGGCATTATATAAATTCAAACTTGGACACACTACATTTCACACACCACTTTTGTGCTAATTTGGGTGCTTGACGATGGCACGGTCAGATTTCAATTCAATTGATAGGATTTTCCTATCCTTTAAATATTTTGAAAGCCCTCCAAAATTTGCTCTCGGTCCGATCAATCGAATTTCAATCCGATTGATCAAATTTTCCTAGACTTAGAAAAATTTTAAGTTGTCAAAACGCTTGGATTGGCCACACTTCAAACAATCATAACTTGGTTATTTCTAACCCACATTAAGCCATTCTTGAGTCTTGATTGATGAATTTTGAGCCACCTTTCCATTGGCATCAATATCATTTTAATATTTTAACTTGAAAGGACTATTTTACCCCTCGTGAGCCTAGGTTTTTGGCATGAACTCGAAGTCAGATTTACTATTCTTTAATAATCCAATGTGGTTATAAATTACTAGTATGACTTCATTATGACTCTTAACTATAGTAAGGTGCATGAGGATCATTTTGCCCTTCGTTAAACTCAGGCTTGGGTAAGAACCCAGATAGTGATTCTGACCCCCGAGTTCGGGTTGTTACAAGTTTGCTATCTGAGCCTTAGGTTCTAAAACTTAAGGACGACGGGTAGGGTTGACCTAGGTGAGAGTCAGAATTTGAATTGATGTTATTACATGCTTAAGTGCTATTTGTTTGTTAAGTTGAAAATCATGTTAAAGTGTTATATGTTTAGTTGTAAATTTCATGAGATTAATGCAGTAGATGTTGTTTCTAAGCATGTTTTAGTTTGGCTAAGTGTGCACTTGTTGGTTGTTCATGTAAGCATGCAATAATTAGAAATATAATTAATTGAGCATGGTAAGTATGATTCTTGTTTTGTGACACACCTAGGTGTCGGAGTATATGTCGTGGTCATTTGTTCACGAGCCAATTGTCTCATTTAGAGTGAGCACGCTATAGTTGTTGACACGATTATGTATTTATGGTGATATGGTGTAATTGTAAGTGGAAGGTTGTGACCTAAGGAAGTGAGGAGTTTTCTCTTTTTGATTTAGCATGTGTTTTAGTCCCTATCGAACAAGTTGCGTGAGTATTTTAGCTTGTTGATTGAGTTATGTAGCGTAATTTCATTTTGATATTTCATTTTTATAGTATTGCGCTTAAGGATGGCGTACAAAGATGGATCTGAGTAGAATTGAAGAGAGAGTGGATGAAGGGTAGTCCCTACAGAACGGGATTCCATTGGAACAAGGCCAAGGTGTAGAAGCGGATGCTAATCCATAAGTACGGTAGATGAGGCATTATTAACGAGAGCTGTGGCCTCATTTTTTCAGAGCTCGACACGTACCACTATTCCATAAGTGGTACGAAGGCGAATTCCTCAACCATAAGAGACAAAGATAGAGAGGAACCTTCAGTGCATTATTCAGTTTGATAAGCTTATGAAGGAGTCGTTTGAACTAGGTCCAGACGCATTGGTTGTGGATAATTGGTTAGAATAGGTTGAGAAGCATTTGGGGGCAATGGCAGTGCCCAATGATTAGTTAAAGATCACTTTAGCTATGTATAAGTTCACCAAAGATATGGTCGAAGACCATGAGTAGTGCTCATGGCATTGACGATATGAGTTGGGATACTTTCAAGGATCTCTTCTTTGAGAAGTTTGACCTGCATCACTCCATTAGGCCCAGTGTGGCGGCTTTCGAATTGGAGGTGTATTCAGAGGCAGTGAGGAAGGCATTGATAGTTGAAGCCGAGGCTAATGATTGGCAAACTAAGAGCAGAGGTGTTTCTTCCAAGAGACAGGAAGGAACGAGGCATAAGAGTAATGTGTCTTCGTCACACAATTAGAAGATAGTACAATCTGCACCCATTGTTTCAGTATCGGCAGGGTCTCATGGGAATGAGATAGTGTGTTATGTCAACATCACAGCCAGCCGAAGGGGCAGTTTTGCAGTGAATACATATTCTCGTTGGTCACTTTTCAGAGCTCAGTCAACTAATTAAATAGAATTAGTTTGCCCAATCATTTTCAAAAAGAAAGGTCTCGATCTTCTTCTAAAGGCCCTGCTTCGGGGAGACTGATGCAGAGAAAGAACGTGGGAGGAGAGTCAGGAGACAACTCTATTGCAATGAAATTCATAGTGCTTTTGGGTATGAGTTCAACTTCACTAACTAAAATGATTTTTTTAGCTAGTTATTTAATTTTAAAAACTTTTAATATTTTCTTACCAAATATGTTTTCATGGATTTGTTTTCAAAAATCTTTTAACAAATATATGTTACCAAATAAGTCTTAGAATAGTATTAAACAAACTTAAAATCAAAAACATTACTTTTGTTTTGAGTCAAAGCAAAAACACAAAACAACTATAATTATCAAAGTGATTATTTGCATAATGTTTTTCATATAAATTTGGTGCTATCAAGTGAATGTTTAAATTAATTTGCTTTCTGCTTTACTTTATTACAATTATTAATTCCACGGTTAACTATTATGTTTATATTTTTAATTCGCTATATAGATTTAGTTCAGGATCTTAATGTAATAGCGTTGCTTGCATTGTTCTCAATCTATTTAAGATGGGTGTGTTGCATTCAAATTAATTAATTAATTAATTGCACTGAAAAGTAAAGTACCTATAGTGTGAGTATAGAGGCGAGTATTCTGATTCCTGGAAAGGGAATTTAGTGCCTTGTTTGCACAACTAGTTTCAAATTTTATTAGATCCGTTATATAACTGCTGTATGGTATACCACTCCATAGTCCATACCACCAAGCTGTATGGTATACCACTCCATAGTCCATACCAAGTGGTCAACTGTAGTCAACAAAAAATAAAAAGTAGCTACGGACCAAACCAACCTAAAATCAATCATGTCCATCTCAGCCTCAACTCACCGCCTTATCTCCTTCGTCCTCCTTGTCCCCGCCGTCTCCACCGTTTGCACTACCGACCACATTGTTGGAGCCAACCGCAGTTGGAACCCCGACATCAACTACACTCACTTCACTCTCTGGGCCAACAATCACACCTTCTATGTCGGCGACCTCATCTGTAAGTACTATATATATATATATAGATAGATAGATAGACATTCACCTCCATCGCTCTCTAGATCTATCACACTCTCTCTCTTTTGTTGTTGCAGCTTTTAGGTATCGGAAATTTCAGTATAATGTGTTCGAGGTGAACCAAACAGGCTACGACAACTGCACAATCGAAAGTGCTGTGGGTAATTGGAGCAGTGGAAAAGACTTATTCTCCTCGACAAGGCGCAGCGCTACTACTTCATCTGTAGCACGGGCAGGTGCTATAACGGGATGAAGGTTTCCGTTCTCGTTCATCCTCTTCCACCGCCGCCTTCTGCCTCCGTTGTGGCGGAGAACAACTCATCAAGTTTCTCTGATCCAGTCGTGGTTTTAAGCAGTGGGGCGCCGTTGGTTGCTAGGGTGCCAACATTGGCATGGCGCTCATCTTTAATGATCATGTTATAAAGGATGATGCACATTTTCATTATATGGCATAAGTCCCCTTTATCCTAAAAACGCATTAGTCCTTGCATTATTGTCCACTTGATCTGCAAAATCCTAAAAGCTCATTCCACATCTTTCCAACAAGCCTCTTGTCTCTGAGCAAAAAGTTTTTCTTTTGCTGTAGTTGGGTGCGGGATGGTCTGCATCAAAGTTGTCCACTTAGGGTATATACCATCAGATAGGTAATACCCCATTCTATAGTAATGGCCATTCACAACGAAATTAACCAGAGGAATTTGGCAAGTAACGGTACTATCAAATACCGAAGAATGATCCAACACATTAATATCATTATGTGACCCCAACATTCCAAAGAATGCATGCCAAATCCACCAATCTTTTGAGGCAACCACCTCCAATATGAGCGTAGGCATATGAAATCATCCTTTATGCGTGCCATGCCACGCCACCGAACAATTCTTCCACTCCCAGTGCATACAGTCGATAGAACTAGGTATACTCAAGAATCCTCTCTCCTCCCCTTCTCGAAGTAGTCGTGTTATGTCAGCTTCATTGGGTGAGCACATGTACTCTTCCACATACACAGCAACAACAACCTTACAAAATGTCATCAAGGTTTCAATGGCAGTGCTCTCACTGATTTTAATATACTCGTCACAATGATTGGCTACACAACCATATACGAGTATACGTATTGCAGTTGTCATCTTTTATTTAGAACATAACCCCAGACGACCTATTGCATCCCTTTTTTGGATAAAGTAGTTGTCATAAGCTTTAACATCATTTAGGATATGAAGATAGTTCTCGTCGCATCCTGAATCGTCCGTGAAAGTACTCTGGTGGATATGTGCAATTCTCGCCAAAGTAATCCTTCATTAGTTGACAATGGCTTTCCTCTCGATCACGATGAATGTATCGCCTCTTACGCGATTTAAAGACTTGTTCTACTATCTTTGAGTTCACTGAATTCAAAATCAAACGAAAGGCGTCTTGATTATGTTGAATCAATGCATCAATAGGGTTATCTGATAAAGAGGATGACGAAGAAGATGAATAACTAGAGCCTGACAAAGGAAAAAATCGTGATGAGGAAGCCATTGGAATTTTGAGATTGAAGGAGATGTGAATTGATATTTTGTTAGAATAAGTTGAGATGAATAAATGATTGTTTATATAAAATGAAAAATATAACCGTTAGAAATATAGCCGTTAAGAAAAAGTTAAAAAGAAAAATTTATTAAAAATTTTAAAAGTATTAAAATATTAAAAAAAAAAAAATTTAAGCAAAAATACACCATTGGAGTACATACAATAACTAAAATTTGAAAACTCTAAAACGCTGACGTGACTATAAGAAATGCTGACGTTACTATTAAAAAATAATGATATGACAAATTCAGATAGCCTAATTCTAGAAAACCCGTTAGAGATGCTCGATGCCGTTAGCCCTTAGCCGTTAGTTCATTGTTGTTCATACTACTTAATTGATTTACATTTTTAACTTTAAACTTGACTTATTCACATTGTTGGATTATTAACTTGACAAACTTTAATCCGTATATTGAAATTTGAATACATACAACACCATTACGTCAAGACTAATGTAAGCTTTCTCCTGGAGTAGGAGTCCGAAGCAAGTCAGATAGATGCTCCAAAGCTGGATACTGATCATCAGTCAGTGGTATAACCACTTTAGCTTTTGCCCTACCTTTGCCACGGCCTTTTGTGGTATTACCACGGCCTTGCCCATTATGGGGCTGACTCATGAACCCTATAAAAATTCACTGGTTAAAAAATCAGGTAAAGAATTAGAACTGCCTTTAATATATTCAATAGAAAAATCAAAAGCAGATAAATCAGCTTGCCAACTAGCAAATATCTGTTTGGAAACTAAATTTTTTACATCTTTTTCCGGTACTTGTTTAGCAGCACTACAATCAATGCGTAACAAGAATTTCTGGTTGATTAAATCATCCTAGAATTTATAAATGCATTTAACTAAAGAAAGAATTTCCTTCTTAATAGTAGAATAATTTAATTGTGCATTTTTTGAAGCTCCGGAAGTGAAGCGAACAAGTTCCTCTGTTCCTGTTTCGGGATTCTTTTGTTTAAGAATACCGCCATATCCAATGTTGGATGCATCTGTTTCAACAATTTTAAACCATGAAGAATTTGCTTAGGCTAAGCAAGGAATCTGTTTAGCGCGAAGTTTAATCTTCTGGATGGCTCCAGTATGTTCTTCAGTCCAAGGGGAAGGTGACTTCCTGAGCCGTGTATGTAACGACCCGGTCATTTGCCTTCCTTTCCTTTTTCTCGAAATTTTATGAATGAATTTTTTTTGTTTAATTTTATTTTTTGAGCTCTGTTTCGTGTCGCTTAGTGTCATCTCGAGTGCTCGGAATTGGTTCCTGAGACTCTTTTCCGTGGATTGACAACTTCTTTTGAGGATCGAGTCATTTTCACAATTTTCTTTTTTCGACACTATGGGCTATTTCGTCCTTTCCCTATTTTGTCTTTTCCCCATTTGACACTTTGTTGGCGTAACCACACTTCTTGTGTTCAGAGTTGGTTTTTAACTTCATGTATCTCCATCTTGAGTGGTTTCCACGAAATACGTATCTTTACTTTTGCAAGAAAGTACTCTGGTTGCTCTCGGTGTCCATAGGGGTATGGATGCAAAGTTCTTTGAAATTATTTTCTTTTTTTGGGGTATTTTTCGTAAATATCTTTTGAAGATATTTTATTTCAGGGGTTTTTAAGAAAATATTTTTGGAAGATATTTTTACTCTGGGCCATAAGTGCAGTTTTCACTTTTTAGAGGGGTCATTATGTAATTAATAAAAGTTATTGCAAAATGTCTTGTTTTGAGCCTGGATCCTCGTACGGGATTCATTTTCACATTTTGTCGAGTTGTGTACTCTTGAAATTTCCTCCTGGTCGATGTTTTCCAGTTTCAGGATTTCTAACCCCAGTTTGCGCCAAACTTATTTTGGGCATAACTTTCTGTTCGGGACTCAGTTTTTGACGCTGTTTCTTCCGTTGTTCATATTTTATCATTTTGAATCTTTTTTGTTCACAAAGTTTTGCTATTTGAGTATGTTTGCTCAAATTTTACTTTTTCAGACCCGACGGGGCCCGTTCGGGGCACTTTTTGAGATTTCTATAAAAGGGGGGTGAGATATTTCATTTTTCATCTTCTCCCCTCTTCATACACAACCTGGAGCTCCCATGGCAGCCTAAGGGGTACTGCCATCTTCTCTCTCCTCTTTTGGTTCACTTTTCCTTGATGGAAAGTCTTCGGCCTTAACGTTTGTTGTTCCCCTCGCCGTGCTCTACCTTTCCCCCTTATTAGAATTCAGTTTTGACCATTTTTTGAGTTTGGCTTTGAGGTCAAGTTATGATTTTGATGGGGCTTTCATGGGGGTTATGTTCACGGCGTTGTCCCCGACAAAACCTAGTAGTTTCGTCAGATTTAGAGCCGTTCCATTTTGATGGCATTTGAGATTTTCATCTCAAATTGAGGTAGGAGATGTTCTAGGTTTAAATTCTTGTTATATAGCATGCTTGTGATGCTTATAATACTTGTTTGCATGATTAAATATAAAATCTAGAGATTTTATTATTTATTTTTCTTGTACGGGATCTAATTTTCCCGGTTGCTCATAACTTGGTTTAAACATGTAACATGATTTTATATTGCCCCTTGATATGCTCATTGTCGTGTATTAAAATTGGAACATTTGAATAAGTATTAAAGATTTTATTTAATATTTATCTTAGGTGAAAGTTTAATTCACATGACCTTAACTAGTTTGAAATTAATATGTGTTAGCATATTATATTAGGCATTAGCATGCTCTTCAGCATAGTTGAATTTGAAAGTAATTGGAGGTGTTTTGAAAATTAGTAATTATTAATTAATTTGCCCCGAGTGCATTATTCACTCCATTTAAATTCCGACTTGATATTCTTGATCTACATGCCATATAACTTCACATATATTTGATTTAGAATATTCGGTTAGGTTTTGAAACCTTTTATTTAATTAAATTCCATGTTTAAGATTTAATCCTCATGGTGATATACAACTTGGAATTGTATTGTGGCATGCTAGAAAATTAAGCTTAGGTATAGTTGTTCATATATATTAAATTGGGATTAATTGCATGAGAATTGCAACTTTTAATTTATATTTAACTTTAGTGAAAGTTTAATTCACATGGTCTTAAATTGAATGAAATAAACTCGTAATGTGATATTATATTAGTCCTTGGCATGTTCTCTAAGATATGTTAATTTGAGAGCATTTGGTTAAGTTTGAAAATCTAGAGATTTTAATTAAAAGAATTAATTAAAATCTATTTTGTGGTCCCATTAGCTTAATTAAGTTTTTAACTTGATGTTTGTATTGGCCATGACTTGTTTACTAGTATATATTAATTTGGGACTATTTGAATTTGTTTTAGAACCTTGGGATTTAAATTAGCATGATTTAATTAAAGTTCTACTTTGTTGTTCTAACAACCTAATTGAGTTTTAGAATGAATATAGGTGATGACCTTGCCATGTCCTTTAACATGTGTTAAATTGAGGTTAATTGGAATTGAATCGGAATCTATAAAATTTAATTGTGTTTATTTATTTAAATTCTATCAATTTGCTCCATGATCTAGTTGTGTTTTAGAAGTGGTTTCTATATTCAAATCATGGACTTAGACTTGTTGTATATTTGTTTGTTTATGTTTTGAACATTGGATAACATAGTTGTTATGTTTGTATTCATGAGAATATATTTTCCTTATTGAATATATTGTTACCTTGTGTAATGATTTGCACACTTCGTGTTTAACATCTTTCATGCATAACGTGTAACGAATCGCACACTGAAGATTCGATATTCATCATATCATATTAGTTGTGGATTTAGAACATGTATTGTATAGGTTTCCAAATTTGGTTGTGCTTAGTAGATAGTTGATTATCTTGCATATTCCTGTTGATATATGCGTTGTTGCACAACTTGTTGATTTTAGAAACTTGGGGATGTCATTGTTTGACTATGGCTAGGACGTAGTTCTAATACGGAGGATAGTCCCTCTATATATAGTCTAGTGCACACATAAGGAGGTTACCCATGGGCTAGTAACCCTAAAGTAACTATGTTGTCGGTCTGATCCGGCGTGACGTCCGAGTATCCACTTTGTTTGATTTCACATTTCATTTTCAAGTTGATAACTAGATGATGTTGTAACTTGTTGTTTCTTATTTGTCATTCCATTTTAAGTTACAGGATGTTAACTTTGCGAAATTGTGCTTTATGCGTTGTATTGGAAGTTCCAATGTTGGTTAAATTGCATCGATATTGAAAATCATATTTTGACATTCTAATAAAGCTTAGGATTGATCCTATTGATTCATTTATAACATAGATATTAGGTGGCATGAACCACTACTGTTATTTTGTGCTTTAGATTCTAAGTTAATAGCTTTGAGAACTTAAACCTTGTTGCATTGTATAACATGCTCTTTTATTGTTGAATTGCGTGGATAATGTGATTCTTGTTAACTTGTATTCAAATATGCTTTTATCATGTTATATGGATTACTCTAGACCTAATTCAATTGTATTGAAAATGCAATTCATGTTAATCTATGCTCAAGCATTCTTCTTGTCGTGTTCTTAGATTATCCCAACCATGATTCG